CTTCCCTTCCCATCCCTTCCCTTCCCGCTGGGAGAGGCTGCCCAGGGCTGCTCGCAGGGTTCTTTCCCAGGGTTCTTTCCCAGGGTTCTTTCTCAGGGTTCTTTCCCAGGGTTCTTTCCCAGGGTTCTTTCCCAGGGTTCTTTCCCAGGGTTTCCCGTGCTGGGAGCGTTTGGGGCTCGCAGGGGCAGCACAGCGGGGTCAGGCTCAGCAGGGAGGGGAAAGGGGGAGGGATCCACACCAAAACACCGGAGCAAATTCCAAACGGGTCAAGGAGGCGGGAGAGGCAGCAGGAATTCCCAGGAATTCCCAGGAATTCCCAGGAATTCCCAGGAAGGGCAGGGGGTGAAACACCCGCACTGGGTGCAGAGAGCCGGGGGTGATCCAGCTGAGCCTGGAGCGGCGCTGCTGGGACCACACGGATCCCAGGCCACAGGATCCCGGGATCCCCAGGATCCCAGGATTCATCCCCAGGATCCCCGGATTCCCAGGATCCCAGAATCCTCAGGATTCCCAGGATCCCCAGGATTCATCCCCAGGATCCCAGGATTACCAGAATCCCCAGGAACCCAGCATCACCAGGGTCCCCAGGATTCCCAGCATCCCCAGGATGCCAGGATCCCCAGGATCCCCAAGATCCCAGGATCCATCCCCAGGATCCCAGGGATCAGCTCCTCACCCAGGATCCCCTCTCACCTCCTGGTTGCACTGCTTCACCGGGCTGGAGCCGGCCTTGTCCACCCGCGACGGGATCCTCACCTGCACAGGGACAACAAACTCCTCACCACCGATTCCCAGGGGAAAACTTGTGGGAATGTGGGGCTTTTCCAGGGATTTCACCTCCAGGAGGGCGCAATCCCTCCCCTGGATGGTACCTGGATGACCACTCCCATCACGGGCAGGTTCAGCGTCTGCCCGGGCACCGGCGGCGGCCACTGGTCGATCTCGTTGCACACTGAGGGAAGAGTTTGGGGGAAAATCCAGCTCATCCCGGAATTCCCGATGGGAATTGTTCCCTTTTCCCAGGTTATACACTCCTCATCCCTGGGCAAACCCAGCTCATCCCAGAATTCCTGATGGGAATTGTTCCCTTTTCCCAGGTTATACACTCCTCATCCCTGGCTCGGGGCAAACCCAGCTCATCCTGGAATTCCCGATGGGAATTGTTCCCTTTTCCCAGCTTACACACTCATCCCTGGGCAAACCCAGCTCATCCCAGAATTCCCGATGGGAATTGTTCCCTTTTCCCAGGTTACACACTCCTCATCCCTGGGCAAACCCAGCTCATCCCGGAATTCCTGATGGGAATTGTTCCCTTTTCCCAGGTTACACACTCTCCCTGGTTTAGGGCAAACCCAGCTCATCCTGGAATTCCTGATGGGAATTGTTCCCTTTTCCCAGGTTATACACCCATCCCTGGGCAAATCCAGCTCATCCCGGAATTCCTGATGGGAATTGTTCCCTTTCCCAGGTTATACACTCCTCATCCCTGGGCAAACCCAGCTCATCCCAGAATTCCTGATGGGAATTGTTCCCTTTTCCCAGCTTACACACTCCCCATCCCTGGCTTGGGGCAAACCCAGAGCGGATAAATCAGCATGGAATGAACCGGGGGGAAAAGGACTGAGGGAGGTGCAGCAGATTCCTGACTTTGGGAATATTCCCAATTCCATGGGAACAATTCACATTCCCTAAGAACAGCCCCCATTCCCTGGGAACAGCCCCCATTCCCTGGGAACAGCCCCCATTCCCTAAGAACAGCCCCCATTCCCTGGGAACAGCCTACATCCAGACTGAGATTCCTTTACCCCTGGTTTTCCCCTTGGCCAAGTCAGGGAAGGTCCTTCCCTGCTGGAATTTTCCAGAATCCCAAGCTGCTCCCGGCCCTTCCCTGCTGGAATTTTCCAGAATCCCAAGCTGCCCCTGTGTTTCCCTGCTGGAATTTTCCAGAATCCCAAGCTGTTCCTGCTTTCCCTGCTGGAATTTTCCAGAATCCCAAGCTGCTCCCAGTGTCTCCCTGCTGGAATTTTCCAGAATCCCAAGCTGCTCTCCCCACTCCCAGCCCTTCCCTGCTGGAATTTTCCAGAATCCCAAGCTGCTCTCCCCATTCCCAGTCTCTCCCTGCTGGAATTTTCCAGAATCCAAAGCTGTTCCTGGTTTCCCTGCTGGAATTTTCCAGAATCCCAAGCTGCCCCTGCTTTCCCTGCTGGAATTTTCCAGAATCCCAAGCTGCTCCCGGCCCTTCCCTGCTGGAATTTTCCAGAATCCCAAGGTTTCCCTCCTCACCTGCCTCCAGGCACGGCTCCAGCTTGTCGAAGTACTCCGGAGCGATCAGCTGCAGCAGGCACTGGAACAGCTTCACGTAGGGCAGGCGGGACACGAGCACCAGGGACTGGGAACGGCACATTTGGGATCACTGGGATCATTGGGATCATTGGGATCATTGGGATCATTGGGATCCTTCCCCTGATCCCGGCAGGGACTGGGAATGGCACATTTGGGATCATTGGGATCATTGGGATCCTTCCCCTGATCCTGGCAGGGACTGGGAATGGCACATTTGGGATCATTGGGATCAGGATCCTTCCCCCAATCCCAGCACGTAGGGAAGGTGTGGGACACGAGCACCAGGGACTGGGAACGGCACATTTGGGATCATTGGGATCACTGGGATCATTGGGATCATTGGGATCCTTCCCCTGATCCCGGCAGGGACTGGGAACGGCACATTTGGGATCACTGGGATCATTGGGATCACTGGGATCCTTCCCCTGATCCCGGCACTGGAACAGACACGAGCACCAGGGACTGGGAACGGCACATTTGGGATCATTGGGATCATTGGGATCACTGGGATCACTGGGATCACTGGGATCATTGGGATCATTGGGATCATTGGGATCCTTCCCCTGATCCTGGCAGGGACTGGGAACGGCACATTTGGGATCATTGGGATCATTGGGATCATTGGGATCATTGGGATCATTGGGATCCTGTCCCTGATCCCGGCAGGGACTGGGAACGGCACATTTGGGATCATTGGGATCATTGGGATCATTGGGATCATTGGGATCCTTCCCCTGATCCTGGCAGGGACTGGGAATGGCACATTTGGGATCATTGGGATCATTGGGATCATTGGGATCATTGGGATCACTGGGATCATTGGGATCATTGGGATCCTGCCCCTGATCCCGGCACTGGAACAGACACGAGCACCAGGGACTGGGAACGGCACATTTGGGATCATTGGGATCACTGGGATCATTGGGATCACTGGGATCACTGGGATCATTGGGATCACTGGGATCCTTCTCCTAATCCCGGCAGGGACTGGGAACGGCACATTTGGGATCATTGGGATCATTGGGATCATTTGGATCATTGGGATCATTTGGATTACTGGGATCATTTGGATCATTGGGATCATTGGGATCACTGGGATCATTTGGATTACTGGGATCATTGGGATCATTGGGATCACTGGGATCATTGGGATCATTGGGATCAGGATCCTTCCCCCGATCCCACGGAGGGCTGGACTGTAAAACCCTGGCACAAAACCATGGAGAGCTCCCAAGCTTTTTCCAAGCCGGAATTTTTTTGGGATTCTTGCTGCCCACCCCGTCCCCATCCGGGATTTGGGAATGGAAAGGCGTGGGAGCACGGCCTGGGAAAAGAGCAGCTGGAAAGGGAATAAAAATCTGCTGGGTTCAAAGCTCCCAAAAATCATTTCAGGTGGAGGAGCACAAAGGAGACTCCTGAAATGGGAATTGGAGAATTCCTGAAATGGAAAATCAGGGAATGCTGGGGAAGGACAAAGGAATTTGGAATAAGGAATCATGTCCAGCCTTTTTTGTTCTAATTTGGGGCTTCCTTGTGGAATAAATCCCTGTTTTTTACAGCCCAGCCCCACTGGGGGTCTCACACCGTTCTGCTCCATTCCATTAATGAGTGCTTTAATTGGGAATGCAGGAGTCATTTCCACACCTCCTGTCCAGCCCCAAACTCGGAATTCAAACCTCATCCAAGCGTGACAATTCCTTCCCTGAGCAATCCCAGTGCTCCAGGGGAAAACTGAGGGGTTTGGAGGGGATGGGAACGGGATTTGTGCATCAGCAGGAGCCCCACAGGAGCTCCTGGGGCTGGAGGGGACAAAGATCAGGACAGGGCTGGGACTGAGGTGTCCCCATGGAGCAGCACGGGGGGGGACAGGCTCAGGCTGGGCCAGGACAGGCTCAGGCTGGGCCAGGACAGGCTCAGGCTGGGCCAGGACAGGCTCAGGATGGGCCAGGACAGGCTCAGGATGGGCCAGGACAGGCTCAGGCTGGGCCAGGACAGGCTCAGGGTGGGCCAGGACAGGCTCAGGGTGGGCAGCAGCAGGAATTTCCCCATGGAAAGGGGGTCAGGCCCTGGAAGTGCCCAGGGAGGGTTGGATTCCACCCCTGGAGGTGCCCAGGGAGGTTTGGATTCCCCATCCCCGAGCTCCCAGGGAGGTTTCCAGCCCAGGGAGGGTTGGATTCCCCATCCCCGAGCTCCCAGGGAGGTTTCCAGCCCAGGCCGTGCCGTGCCCCGCAGGGTGTGAAGCCAGACCCGCTGCAGCACTGGGAGCTGGTGCCCATCGAGGTGTTCGACGTGCGCCAGGTCAAGGCCAGCTTCAAGAAGCTGATGAAGGCCTGCGTGCCCGGCTGCCCCTCCAGCGAGCCCAGCGTGGCGTTCCTGCGCTCCCTGGAGGAGTCGGAGTGGCTGTCCCAGGTCAGAGCCCCTCCCTGGGAGCTCGGCTGGCTGGGGGGGACGGGGCTGGGACCATCCAGAGCTCAGCTCCGAGGGGCTGGGACCATCCAGAGCTCAGCTCCGAGGGGCTGGGACCATCCAGAGCTCGGCTCCGAGGGGCTGGGACCATCCAGAGCTCAGCTCCGAGGGGCTGGCACCATCCAGAGCTCAGCTCCGAGGGGCTGGCACCATCCAGAGCTCAGCTCCGAGGGGCTGGGACCATCCAGAGCTCAGCTCTGAGGGGCTGGGACCATCCAGAGCTCAGCTCCGAGGGGCTGGGACCATCCAGA